GATGTCCGAATCTGGTGATGTTCCTGGCAACGTGGGGCGCATCTTCGTGGACGATGTGGGAGAAAAGGTATGATATACGACGTTTATGTTTCAAATTTAATTTCGTTATTGCCTATCTAACCGTTTCATTATGTTAGAAATTGGCAACCTGTATTACGCTTCAAACCAAACACATGCGATCGATCTTCTCTCAATTTCCGGAGGTACTTCTAATTGACGCAACGCATGGAACCAATCGATCCAAGTACAAGGTCTTCTCTTTCATGGCACACGACACTTTTGGAAAAGGCCAGTTTGTGCAGCATGCCCTACTCCACAACGAGCAGTGGAGAACATTGTTGACTGCACTGGAAGAATTTAAGACGAATAACCCGGCTTGGACGCGTCTTCAGTGCGTGCTCATCGACAAGGACTTCACGGAGCTTTCTGGTTTGAAGACAGCATTCCCCGGCGTGACTATTCTACTCTGCCAGTTTCACGTATTAAAGTACTTGAGGAAGGAAATTTCATTATCGGATTACGGCTGCAACACGTGGGAGAGGGATCAGCTGCGAGGGCTCATGGACCTCCTGGTATACGCGAAGACGGAGAAGGAACACATGGGGCATTTCCGGTACATGCTGCATGTGTGCGAGGTTGGTCGTTTAAGGTCTTTAGATTCAATCGGGCAGGACAGATCGACCCCCACTTCGGTCGGGGTGAATCTGGCTCCAGTCGGGCAGAATCCGGCTCCAAACTCCGTTGAACCCGCGGATGTGGCTGCTACGACAAATGAAGCCACCACCCACCCGTTTGCTGCCTATTTCATCAAAAACTGGGATAATTGTCGTAAGTTATGGTGTGCACACAAGCGGCAAAACACCGTCACTCTCGGCAATAACACCAATAATAGATTGGAGGCATCCTGGAAGCAGTTAAAAGAGTGGGTAAATTTGTTCATGGCTGTGGACGAATGCATTGCGTCTATCATGTACTATCAAACGCTTCAAGAACGACGTTTCATGGATGAAGTCTACAAGAAGGTTAACATTCAGCATGTTGGATACGACCAAGAAATGACTCTCGTGGCTAACCTTGTCAGCGAACACGCGTGCGAGCTGATACAAGACCAATACGTATACGCATTTGGCCGTGCATCATACAATTTTTCGGAACGGAGCCCGGGCGTCTATATTGTGAAGAGCACAAGCACCGAGGAAGATGCCCTTGACGAAAGTGAGACCGAGTATACTATTTCTGAGGCAAACTGGACTTGTTCGTGCCTCTTTATGAGCACGCGTTTGCTGCCGTGTCGTCATGTTCTCTTTCTGAGAAGAGCACTCGGCAAAGAAACTGTTATCCCGACACAACTTCTCAATCGTCGGTGAATATTGTCTTCTGTTAGGTCCTCGATAGAGTTCGAGAGCTCAAGTGACAACTGTACGTCTATGGAATCTTTCGCTATTCGTCGGGTTGTGGCGACGGATGATCGACCTTGGGACTCAAACCGCAAGTATCGTGAGGCGCTGCCTATCGCTAGTGAAATTTGTGGTTCGATGTCTGAATTGGGAATGGCACAATACCGAGAAGCGATGGAGTATCTGAAGGATGTTGCTCGTCGGTTCAAGCATTGTGACTTCGGCACCTTATTCAGTCAAAACCAAAACGATCAGCTATCAGACTCTCCTCCTTCTACCCAGCCAGCTGAAGCGAGTTCAGCCATTGAGAACAGCCAAGTCGAGGAGTCTGACATCCAGTCTGGCGAGTCTGGCATCCAGTCTGGCGAGTCTGGCATCCAGTCTGGCGAGTCTGGCACTCAGTCTGGCGAGTCTGGCACTCAGTCTGGCGACTCTGGCACTCAGTCTGGCGAGTCTGGCACTCAGTCTGGCAAACATCTTGAATCGAAAAATCGAGAGTTGACATCAACTCTCCCAAAAGTAGGGAATGAAGAATTTCACGTAGCGAGCCCTCCTAGATTCCGCGGGCGCCCAAAGCAAACAGCAAAGTCGAAGAAAGCTGCTCGTAGAAAGAATGCCACGATCGTCCAGGAGGACTCAGACTTGTACGCGGCGAATTTGAGCCTGGCTACAGTGCGAGATGCTGTAGAAGGCGTGCCTACATACGATACATCTGCCGCTACCCTATCGCGATTCAAGCTGTATGAGTTCAGTAAAACTCCCAGGGCTCCTGTAGCCCACGAGAGAGCGAGCTTACCACCGGCGAAGAAAATTTATCCTGTCGAATCCATAACTCGTGTATTTCGCAAGGACTTCATTGAGAAGTGCAGCGCCAAGTCTCAGCCCTGTAGAAGAACGTAAAGATTCATCGGGTGTAAATCTAGGCGAACAAGAAATTGCGGTGGAAGTAATCGGTGTTGGAGCATACACTACCGAGACGTTGGGTGTAATGAAAAAGTGGCACAGGGCGATGAAAAGCATACAACACGTAGACAAAGCTATAAACTGGATCGAGACTATTGATTCACTCTACAGATGCCCGAGCATTTCCAAGTTGATCCAGACCCAGATATACTTGCTAAGCTGAAGGCCATCCCACTTCTGTCCGTGCAGGTACAGTTAACGTACATTTATTGATACAATGAGTTTACTAGCGCTGATAACATCTTCTTGAATGTAGGCGGAAGCGCTGGAGCTCGTTGGCAAGTCGCCCTTGGGTGATTGCACCGCTAACACTTTAGTGCTGAAGCTGTTTGCAGAAAGAGTAGACACGATTGGAGTCGACACGTCCATCGCGGGGAACGTTATGAATGGCTATTTATCGATCTATACGATGAAGGGCGTGTTTGTAGGTGTTACGGGTGAGAAGATGTTGATTCCGATCATCTGCGGCAAGAATCACTGGTGCTCTGTCATAATTGACCGGACATGTAAAGACGTATTAGTCTACGAACCGATGAATTCCAGCTACGGAGTGAAGGTTCGCCCCCTTGCTGACAAATTGGTGACGATGCTACCAGACTTCGCCCCGAGAAAGTACCGAGTCCGAATGTACGAAAGTGATCTTGGAGTGCAGGTCGATAGCTACAATTGTGGCATGTACATGCTGTTGGCATTCGAGATATTTGCCGGTGCTACTACTATGCGTGCGCTATGTAGAAAGGAGCTGCAGTATCTACGCTATCGGTATCTCTGCATGTGCATTTAGCTGAACAAGTTTTCAATGATTTGGTCTTTTGTTTGTGTGTGTCGATGGCATGACTACCTCCGGGTTATTCACCCTGCACTTTGTCTTGAGAGTTAGATATCCCCAGCGCAGTGAATGTCTTGCAGATATAAGTTTCGAAACCGACAGACATCGAGCTTCCGGTTATACGTATACTCCCGAAGACACATCAGCTGATGCCGTGTCCGGCTCTTCCTGAGTCTGGCATATTCGGGCATGCTAATCGGGTGTATTCTGGTGTAAATTGTACTGTCTCTTGTTACCCAGTCTGGAGTGCCTTTTCGAAAACAGTTTATAAATAGGCACTCGTTATTTTGCCCGACTGAGGTAACATAGCATCGACTTTTATACGTGTACAGAAAGTATAGTACGGTTAAATTGGAGTAAAGGTAGGACACTAGCGCGTTTGCACTCGTCTGCGGACTTATAGCCGTGGGCCCGCCCCTCTCTTCGCTTGCTGCGCTGCGCTCGGGGGGCGCCGCTGCGCGGCCTGCCCCACCCCGGTCTCTAAGTCCTCGACTCGGCAAGGCGCTGTGTCTGGGAATAGAAATTAATTCCGAGCGAGTGTTGCCAAGACCGTCGGCTAAGTCCATTTTATGCATGTTGGGGAGTATAATTGTATAGTCGGTTAGCCAGTCGGGCAAAATACTCACTTCCTTGTGCCAGTTAGACTCTTTTCGCTTTACAGTTTCATACACCTTTAGGCAATTGCCGAGCTGCCAAACCATCCGTCTAACTGCAACGCCTCAGCAACATGCGTTACGACCAGCAGCCCAATGACGCGCGTCCCAGGCTCTATGCGCATCCCCAGGCGTTGCTGGGGGGCTACAACCCGCTCATGCACCCACAGCACAACGTCGTCAAGTATGAGCACGGTGCGCCGTACTACCCGCCGCCGGCCGCTCTGCACGTGTCATCGGATTATCAGCCTCCCGCCAGCCCCACGCCATCCACGAACAGCAGTGCCAAGCGTTCGCGTGAGGAGCTGAATATGAAGGAGAAACAACGCATGTTTAAGCTCAATGAACGCATAACGCAGCTTAAAATGCTGCTGGATGAGGCCGGCGTACAGACCAAGAAGAACAAACAGTCCGTTCTGGACAACACGTCGCACTACATTGAGATGCTGCGCGGCGACCTGGTGATCGCTCAGCAGAAGGCCGAGCGCGCCGAGAAACAGGCCGAGATCTTCCGTACTCAGACATACAAAGGTCAAGGCGTAGTTGACAGGGCTGTGAGTGGCGTATTTGAGAAGACCACGACGCCTCGGGTGGTCGTGGACATGGACATGAAGACGGTCATGTTCAACGCCGCGTTTGTCACGTTTACGGGACTGTCGGAGCTCGCGTTGAAGAAGAAGAAGACGCTGCGGCCGTATATCTGTGCGGACCAGGAGAAACTAGATGCCATCATGACGAAGCTGCGTGAGACGAAACAGTCTCTGAGTGTGCTGGTGAAAGCGTCCGCTACGGGTAAAGACGAAGTGGTTGTGAACGTGACCGCATCGGTGGTGACGGATGATAGCGGCGAGGCTGTGAATGTCGAGTTCAGCCTCATCCCAATGGACACGCAGCAACTACCGCAACAGCGGCCAAAGCGACAGAAAATGAAGAATGATGGTGCGGCAACAAGCAACAAGGCAAAGGACCAATCTGCTATTTACGTGCAGCTGTAAGCGCGACTGCCACAAAAGTGTTGCGTCAAACTGGAAAAAATGAATCTTTCATTTTGCGTAAGATGCAAAAGCAGTTTGCAAACTTTCTCGAAAGAAAAAAAAGGGTTTTGTATTTGTCGTATATGTTGCCAACCAGTGCAAGTTATATGTTGCCTGTATTGACCTAAGGACTTGGCTGATAAGTGGGGAAGTCGTTGTAGCCCTTGCCGCCCAGCGCCGAGTTGTAGTACACCTCGTGTCCAGCCTCTGGCGTCACGGGCCAGTCGTTCTGGAAGCGTTCAGCCAGGTCCGGGTTCGAGATGTACAGGCGTCCGAATCCCACCATGTCCACTGTTCCAGTGCGAATTGCGCCTTCAGCAAGATCGCGAGTGTAGTTGTTGTTGGCCATGACGATGCCCTTGAATGCCGTCTTGGCATCGAGCGCAGTGGTGAGACGGCACTTGTCCGTGTAGCCGAAGCCGAAGCCGTCCAGAATGGCAAGATACCCCAGGCCGTATGTACTCAGACGCTCCATCGTGTACTTGAACATCTCGTAGTTGTCCTCGCTGCCCATGCCAGCAAATGCACCGTTAGGCGCAAGACGAACACCGATACGATGCGCCGGCACGGCTGTCTTCACAGCTTCCACGATCTCCATCAGAAGACGCGCACGGTTCTCGAACGAGCCGCCGTATTTGTCCGTACGTTTGTTAGTGACCGACTGCAAGAACTGGTCGACCAGATAGCCATTGGCACCGTGGATCTCCACACCGTCAAAACCCGCTTTGAGCGCCAACTCGGCACCGTGACGGTACGACTCTACCACACCGGGGATCTCATCCGTCTCGAGTGCACGTGGAGTCTCGTAGTCCTGCGATTGGTAGTTCGCATCACGCGTGTGGCCACGTTCAAGACGCAGTGCCGAAGCGGACACGATCTCGCCCTTTGGATTGAAACTCGAGTGGCTCTGACGACCCATATGCCACATCTGCATGAAGATTTTGCCGCCCTTCTTGTGTACGCGCTCGGTCACGCGCTTCCAGCCTTTCACGTGGGCGTCATTGTAGCAGGCTGCGGCATTGTACCAGCCGTAGCCCTGCTCGGAGATGCCGGTGGCTTCCGAGATGATCAGACCGGCACCTGCGCGCTGCTCGTAGTAGATCTCGTTGTTCTCGGAAGGCACGCGGTCAGCATTGGCACGACCACGGCTGAGCGGGCCGAACACGATGCGGTTCTTCAGCTCGAGGTCGTCGCCGAGCTTGAGCGGCGTGAAGAGCTTGTAGTCAGCAGTGACGGAGGCCATTGTTGCAGATGTGGTTGCGCGTGAACTGGCAAATTTAGAAGTGCCTTACTGTACCCGTGGTCACGCACAGACCTCGAGGGAAGCCATCAATCAATGTGTCCTTGACGTTTTGATGACGTCAGGCGAGGCCACTGCGTATACAAAAGTCAGCCCATCCGAGAAGTTGCAGAAACAAACTACTGTACCGGTAACCAGGGAACCCGAAAATATAATTTATATCAATTTCAAAGGACATCGAGAAATACATAACGCGCGGCAACCTAAGAACTCAGCAAATAAATAATTGGAGCGGGGACATTGCAAACGTAAATTATTAGTGAAATAAACTACCAAGCCTGGGTGAAGCCGCCTAAATGCAAGCATCCACGGTGGTGAAAGAAGAGAGTAGGTTTTGTTGGGGTGTTCCTGAAGTTGCAGAATGAGCTAGAATATGCGATTCGGAGAAGTCGAGGGGCTCCAAACCAACCACAAACTGTAGGTATTGTAGGCGACATTGAACATTGGGCCAGAAATTGTAACCCATACTATACAGACTGTAAAAAGTCTAATAATTGTCTGTTTGATATAAATAAAAGTGCTATAGATAACTTAGTGTCTTGAGAGGGCGGTAGAACTCATCAATTAGCCAGAAGCATCCTTTAAGGTCAGCGAAAATGTCCGGCAAGCACGAGTTCTGCCCAGGAGAGAAGCGGGTGATTGTGAACAGCTACGAGTATTTCAAAAGCCAGAAGGAACAAGGCCTCTTCAAAGGCATCAGGACATGCCAACTGGTCTCTGATTGCCTTGGTTGTGCTCCCAACACCGTTGACTCCGTGGTTAATGAGAAAAAGAATAACCCAGACACTGATTTTGAGGTATATCAATTATAACTGATATGGTAACATTTCCTTTTCAAACTAATATTTGTACAAAGCCCAGAAGGAATTAGAACAGTAGATCATAAAAACAAAACAAAATCCATATATAATACCTTTATAATGTTTTTCACCATCCTGCTGGCAGAATTGAATGTTAAATCGACAAGGGCAATCTGCGACCGGGCGATGTGTCATCTTCCTTTTTGACATATGATTTTAATTCTAGACCAATCATATCTGTGGAATTGGCGCGCCTTTCCCCCGAAAATGACAGTGTTCTGAGAGGGCATTTTTAAACGACTGTAGCTCCAAAACGGCTGGGAATTGGCTAAAAATTACCACAAAATCGAAATCTAAACGCATGATTGCACCCTATATCTAAATGTCGATATAGGTTTTCCTAAATGTAGACCACTTATGCCTCTCTCGATTCTGGCCCAATGTTCAATGTGTCCTTGACGTTTTGATGACGTCAGGCGAGGCCACTGCGTATACAAAAGTGTCGACGAATCAGTCCATCCGAGAAGTTGCAGAAACAAACTACTGTACCGGTAACCAGGGAACCCGAAAATATAATTTATATCAATTTCAAAGGACATCGAGAAATACATAACGCGCGGCAACCTAAGAACTCAGCAAATAAATAATTGGAGCGGGGACATTGCAAACGTAAATTATTAGTGAAATAAACTACCAAGCCTGGGTGAAGCCGCCTAAATGCAAGCATCCACGGTGGTGAAAGAAGAGAGTAGGTTTTGTTGGGGTGTTCCTGAAGTTGCAGAATGAGCTAGAATATGCGATTCGGAGAAGTCGAGGGGCTCCAAACCAACCACAAACTGTAGGTAGTTGTTGTCCGGGAGAATAAAAGTTGGGTCGTCGTACACCAACTTCGTAAATACATATTTTGCTGAAGCATTTTTCGTAAATAAATTATAGATAGAAACAATAAACAGTAATTGGCAATAAATATATTTATCGGGTTTCCTACCGGTAACTCTATTAGAAATCGATCTTTTAAAAAACAAGAAACTATTATTGATTGCTACTAGCCGAGTGCCGCCGCTACGCGGCGGAAAAGAAAGAATGTCGTTCCTTGTGTTTTGCCTCGATTCCGCTCGCTACGGCTCGCTTCACTACTCGCATGGTAGGTTGGCAGATTGTGGCTCAGGCGGGCCCAAAGGCCCGCGAGGTTGCAGAAGGTGCCGATTTGGGCCGCCTCGCTGCGCTCGGCAGCTTTTAGGCCAATCAGGGCCACCTTTCGCTGCGCTCGGCAGCCAGTAGAAATATTTAAATTATTTTAGCCAATGATTTGTCCGGAAAAGCGTGACAGGCACGACAATTTAGTGTGACGGACAAACAGGTTGCTGCAGTAGATGTTTAAGACTAGCGGTCTGGGCGCCCGCTCCGCGGACGCTAGGGCATGGTTGGTTGGTGTAGTGCGGGCTGACCACCTTCGCTGCGCTGCGGTGGGCTTAGCGTTTCTACGTACAGCAAAGCAACATATAGTACATGTATACTGTGTTCTACTTATATTACGCTCCAAAACAACACCGCACACAGTATCTTTAGTGCCACATGTTATGATAGATATGACCAGGGTTTAACGTGCTCTGCAAGATGAGCACCATCTTACCCGTGAAGGTTTTGTCTATAATCGCATTTGAGCGCATAGCTCCCAAAATGACACGAATCGGAGACGTGCCCGATGCAAAGCTAAAAAATGCTGTTCAGAAGACATGTCAGTATCAGTGATGATCCACATTGGCATAGACCGGTGAGGAATCCCAGTTTAGCTGAAGTAAATACGTCTACTCAAACATAATATCATCTGTCACGTCATCGCCGTGAGGCAGTCGACACCATATCATTGATTGCGACGGTCTATTAGAGAAAGATTTAGTCAGCTCCTTGCGCGAAGTATCTTTTAGGACAGGTAGATTTTGCCGATAGTCGCGACAAACACCAATAGTATGCCTTGAATTTGCTCTGCAGAGCTCTTTATGATATCACTGAAGGGTCTTTCCACTATCTTCTGCATGCATTGATCTTACTTGCACTTACTAACTTATGTGCATAGCTACCGACTGACAGAGTGGCGTCGATCCTTTCCGAGTAGTAAGCTCTGATATGTATGACGAACATGCGAAACCATATCGATATAGGCAGATTATCATGTTGTAGTGGTGTTTAGACTTGAATCGAATAGTAGCTCATGTACGTTAGATGCTGTAATCTCGCTACTACTTATCAGCTCGATGTGTTGTTTGATATATCCATGCATAACTTATTTCGTAAGCTCGTCGGCGCCACGCTCTCGCGGTAGCCAAAGCACATGGGGTCACTGTCGCTTTCTCGGTACATTTGCATCATGGTGCTGGCTTACTGTGCTTACGCTTCTAATGTATCAGTCTATACGACCAGACCGGTCACTAACTGAGCACAGGCCATACCGCAGCGATATAGGCAAGCTGGCCGCGCGTCTCTTAGCAGTAGTGCTTTATACGCGCGCGGCGGGTACACCTTGTAGCCATCCGCGACTCAACCGAGCTCATATGTCGACCATTATGGACAGGACACTAAAATACAGAACTGCATACAGGCACATCGACCTGCAACATCCACCTGTACGGTCTGCATTACCGCACACGTGCTCGTATCTACGTAGACAGCAACGGTTTTGTCGCACGTAGTACTCACTCAAAACTGTAGTTTAAATTTATGAGCGCACATTAGTGGAATATACTCTGTGAACATTGACGATACAGATAACGTGGCTTGCCTTTGTCCAAGTGAGGGAGTGTACGTGTGACGCGTACGCTGATAGAAACGGCCAGCTTGCGGCTGTTCACAGTAGATACCATGTGCTAAATATTATTTGAAAGGCGCTACGCTGTTTAGGTGTGTCAACAATACTGACTGCGCCATAGGCTGACTACCATATGTGCGACCCCGAGCCTCGCCCGGTCAGCCAGTATACTAAATACAAAGATAGGAAGAAAAATGGGGGCCTAAAAGGGTATATTAACCAATTACTTTCTCTTCTGCTGCTTCTTTTTCTCGATGTACTTGACGTTTCGGGCGGTCAGCTTGCGAAGGCGACTGCGCTTCTTCTCCTTCTTGGGGTACCAGTCAGGACCCATCGCCTTCTTGATGTTCGCCAGGCTTTCCTGGTGGCGCACTTCGGCCGAACCAGGTGTTCCTCCCAGAACTCAACCGCTTTTGGGCCGCTCTCGCAGGCAATACAGCGCCGCACGATGACCCGCCCACTGATTGTACGGAATGCGTAGCCGTACTGCAGCTTCCCGCAACCGACGCAGCGCGCCCGGGCATCCGTCGTAGACCGCTGCGGGTTCAGCAGAAGCGGGTCAATCTTCGCCTCGCATTGCTTGCACGTAGGGCCCACCATTTTGCAAACTGTGAGTATGTTAGCAAATTATATTGTTTTAACCAATTACTTGCGTCCAAATATTAGCCAATAGCACGGTACTGTAAGGCTGGTATTTATTATTAGACAAAATATTAAAATGTTTTAAAATATTACAATTTGGCCTTGCTATTATATATATAATTATCAGATTTTTAAGCAAATACATACTTTACATGCAATATAAATTGACTAAAACAACTATCTATCGTGCGCGCATGCATTCGTCGGGTGGGGTGCACGGGAGCAGATAGCGCAATGGCCGTGCAGCCGCGCGCCTTCATTGCACGGTGGCAGTGGTGAGTGTCAGGTGAAGTAAAAAAAGATATATATCACAAAGTCCCTACAAAAAGCGCTGGTTGTGAAGCCTACTTTAATATAAAAAAATACTGTCGTCTCTACTTAAGAAAGTCTGTGGAAAATAGCATCGCCGAGCTCTTACAAATGCGGCCTGTGAAGCTTATATTAATAATACTATTAATATCGTCTTTACTTTGAAAAGTGTGTGGAAAATAGCATCGCAGAGCTCTTACAAAATACTGGTCTGTGAAGTTTTCATTAACAATGATAAATATCTCTATTTGAAAAGTGTGCAGAGCTCTTAAAAAATAAAGTGGTTACTGTGCCCGATTTGCAGTACATACGACAGGTTTACGTAGCTGAATGTCAATAATCAAGTATCTGCGCAGCTCGCCTGGCTGTTTGCAGCCAATCGATGC